AAAGCGTGTTCATAGAATGGTTAAAACCTGGTTTGAATAAACAAGTCAACCATGCCCAAATGACACTTTCTGTTTAGTTATTATTTTCTATGTAAAATTTTTATTAACCTATTTTTTCGTCACTTCATACTCGTTCTTTGAGAATGACTTTTTATTCTTTTAGATTTTGTCGTATTTTTGTAATTAAATTAATAGTTTGTACATAGATAATTACATTTTGTATTGTTATTGTAAAAATCACCTATATAGGTATTTAAACAAATTTCAAAAATAAAAAATTTAAATTCAACTGAAGATGACTAGTGATAATCAAAACATGTATCGGCTAAAATTAATAAAATGGTTTTATTATTTAAAAACTTGTCTTGTTTATTAAAATATTTACATTTTTTGTGCTTAAAAGAAATTTTGGATATTTTAAGAAATGTTTTTTTGATTTCCTCCATCAAAAGATTATTAATAAATAGCTCATTGTACTCTTTTAATACATATACTCTATAATACTACTTTTAAAGATGGTGAAAATATTCATTATACGCCGTAAAACATTCGAGCAGCCTAATTTCTATTAACTCAAATGATGTTCTTTAAAGATGCTTACTGTTTAGATCAATTATGCAGCACAACAATCTTTCTTTGTACTGTGGATGATTATTATTTTGCTTATACCTCGACCAATGTTGATAAAAGTCTTGTTGAAAAGTTTCGACAGTTTGTTCACTATGGGGCCCCAAGGGGGATTCTTTGTGACTGATGAAATCTTTGATGTGATAGAAGACGGCGTGAATTTTGGGTTTTACGTTTGCACCAGTTATCATTAGGTAACACTTTTTGAAATTTTCAATTTTTTCAGCAAAATCCGGCTGAAGGATGAATCCAAAGCAAGCCTTGACAACTAAATTGAAGCTTTTGAATGCTTCAATTATGCACACAAAATTGGGAACCATGTTTGTCTCAACAAGTTGCTGCAGCATATCCACATTTTTAAAAAGCTTCCTGCATTCATTTCCCTCAAACTGACCCTTGTGATACGGGTTCAGTTGAATGTGGAGGGCGGCTGGCTAAACTCCTAAGAGGAGATGCAGTTCCATTGGTGGAATGATTTCCAAAATCAAAACATTGACAGGCCCGCAGATGATTGGCTTTTGAATAACATTGCCAAACAGGTTTGCATTAGCAACAACCCCGCCGGATTGCTGAGAAGACTCAAGGCTTGCATTAGCCCACTGCAAACACTGAGCCCAGTGTTCGCAAGTTTCTAGGTTTGGCAAGACAATTGGATTTGACATCACACCAGGTGCAAGGGTGCGTACTTGAATGAGTTTGAAGACCACAAATTATATTTGCAACTATCATATCACAAGCCAAAATTAGTTTAACTCTATTTGCATTAATCAGTGACCCGATTTGTTCAATATTGGAGTGTGTTTCTGGCAAATCTTCTGAAACCACAACAATAATTTTTCTCTTGACTCCAGTGCCTTTACCAGTTCTTTGAGTGAGAGGTTGTTGTTTGTGCGGTGAGCTGGTTTTATCCCTTAACGCCGTATCAACAATACTTAGGCAAAACTTGAGAAAACCTTTTCCACCATCAATTTTGAGCTTAACAAAATAGCCACCAGAAATTTTGTGTGACTGAATAACATGATTCACGAGACTTGAACTTCATTGCAGTGAGCAACAACATGAACTGTACAAAAATCTGATTTTCCGTTTGTGATTTTTAAGTCGCTGCAGGTGAAGAAATTGCTCAATTGTTGACCTAGTCTTAGAAAATTCATGTAGAAATTTCGCTCTACCATCTTGCTGCTTGATGTTTTGTTTACAGTTCTAACAAGTTTCTATAATCCGTTGTTTGACAGGCCCGTATTTAATTGCACATTTACAAGGACTACAGTGGTCAATTTCGGAGCACTTGATGGTGTCTGCACACTACTTTGACCTAAAACCAAAACATACATATTTTATAGTTACGTTTGTGTAAAACTTTCAAATTATTAGTTTTTAAAGAAATTAGAAACTTGTCAAAAATATACCTCTTATTTTTATTTATTTATTTATTTCGTCATTAAATGAATAATCTTTTACAATGTTTTTTTACAACATAAAAATTATAACATTAAAGTTTCGACCGGAGCTGGCAGAAGACATGATCTTATCATCCAGCCCCGTTTAATATAACTAAAAAATTCAGCCGATAAAAATGAAAAAGGAAAAAAGAAACTAAAGCAAGAACTGATTTTAAGAAGAAAAGAACTTAAAAATCAAATTATTATTTACAGAAAGAGAAAAAAATAAAAAAAAAATATATTAATTATTTCTTCTCATTATTATTATTATTTTTTTTTAATTCTCTATTTTATTCGACTTTTATTTTTATTATACACGCACGCACACACACATACATCTTGAAATCTCTCTTGTGTTATTTCTTAATATTCAAAACTTTATTTCATTATATATGTTAAATTTATTCAAGTATAAATATTTACCAGGGGTAACTGTAAGTGGAGGCCCTCCGGATGATTTAGCCAGTAAGATAGTTCTTTCTGGAGATAATTCTTTATTGGAGATAACTCGAGATGCGATTTGTTTAATGATTTGGCATCTTTTGCTTCTAAAGATTGAATGTTTTCCCTTAACATTATTTGAGAGCATTGGTGGAGCAAACCTTTCTCAATAGTGGTTAATTAAATTATTTTCCGCGGACAAAATTAAATGATTTCAAAATTTGCATCACAGGGTACCTTGATGTGTACGCTAACTTTCCGTATAAGTGGCGTTCTTGGGACAGCTAGGTAGGCATCATTAGGATCCGTGCTAACCGTGACCATAAAAAAAATTATAATATTTTTTGAATACTTTTATTCTAAAATTTTGAATTATTATGATACAATTTAATGAAATTTTATGATATATTTATATAATAAGTATTACTTATAATATAAATAAGGTAATAATTGCATAATTTATATAACTGTGAACAAATAAGTAATAAAGTTGTGTTAAACTTTTTCTATTTAAATTTATTCTAGCCTTGCATAAGATTTCAATACTTTTAGACACTTTAGTGCAAATGTAATTAATATGTTACTTCGAAGAGATCATCTTTTTTACTAATCCACTTTTTGTTTCAACTTGATCAGTAAATATTTGCGGTATATTTGTTAATAAGAAACGTTTTTTGGTGAAGGTATGAAAGAGATTTTGTTTTGTTTATGTATAGGATTAATTAGTAACATTTAAACCAATTTGAGACTTTTTACAGTTCATCATTCATAGCAGAATAGAGTTAGAAAATATCATTTTTAAAGTGAAACAAATTGGTATTATTTGCAAACATAATACTAAAATAATTAAAAAAAAAAAAAATAAAATAAAAGTCATTTACCTAAATCAAGAAACACTACAGGATATTTCTAACAAATGTTTTTGATATATATCATTATAATATAAAAATTGTTTTAGACTTAATAAATAGCTTAGAAACCTTTTTAAAACTCTGCTATTTATTCCATAACAATTAGGTTTGGAGTAATTCTGATTCGTTTACAATGGATAAAATAAAATATTGTAAATTTAATAGGAACTTTTTTCAGTACAAATATTAAATTTTGCACAAATAAAAAATATATAAAAAGTAACGCTATTAAAAGAACGCCGGAAACTTGCAGAAGACCATGTGGTCTTGTCATGAAGAAACCGCTTTTAGTGGCAATATTTTTGTATACTTAATTTGTTAAATTAAATATTTCAGTTTAGCAAAACCTTAGTGGAATTAGAGTCACATATAAAGTATAGAGTCACATATAAAAAGTAGCACTAGAGTCACATATAAAAAGTGGCATTAGAACATATAAAAAGCTATTAGCAAAGTCTCTTAGTGGCATTTGAATCGCATATAAAGTATAGAGTCACATATTTGTGGCATTAGAGTCACATATAAAAAAAGCTATTAGATAATCAAAAAGAGAATAGAGCTGTATTTGATACACATAAATATATAAATACATGACTTGTTATACTTAATATATCAACAGACATGTACGAAATATAAATAAAATCTAATATATACTTAGCTTTGAAGTTCATTTTTAGGTTGTTTTTTTAATGCGTTCTTAATATTGTGTTTGTCTAAAACATGTTTTTTCTCGGGGGTGTCCAACCCCCCCCCCCATGTCATATAAGCATTTGAGTTGGCACATTGAGCAAGTTTTAAGCTATTGTTGGCAAATTGCAAATATTGAAGACCTTTTTTTTTTTTTTTCAGTGTTTCTAGTTGGCAAAAAAATAAATACAACCTCCATGGAAGACCTTTTTGGAACGGCCCTGATTACAACCTAGCCTTAGTATATTAACCTTGTATCCAATTAAAACACTCGTGCAAAAAAACTACTTTAAATGGTTGTAAAGCACTAAGAGTTAATTATTCATTCTCTAACAGAAATTTTTTTTTTCTTGTTATACTTAATATATTGACAGACATGTACGAAATATAAATAAAATCTAATATGGAGGATTCTTATCTGATCATAATTTTTTGTCATTATTTTTCTTATTTTTAAAAAAACTCTTTTAATTCGCTGGGATAATGATACAAAGAATTAGTAAATAAATCATGATAATAATTAATATATATATTTAATATCACTCGACTTAAATCTGATGATCATTAATGTCGATAGTATGATGACTAATAAACAATATACCTTTAATATCAATCGATCTGAACGAGAGAGTATTTGTGGAAGTGATATGTGGTAAATAAAAGAATATGCTACTTTTTATTATTATATTGCCATAATCATAATATAATAAATAAATATAATCATAATATGTTAAATAAATATAGTCATAATATAATAAATAAATATAATCATAAAATAATAAATAATTTTCTATGAAACTTTTTTTTATTTTTGCGTAATTTCCCTTGAATTAAGAAAATGAAGTTTTGAAGATGATTTTAGCTTAAATTGAGAAAGAAATTTATTTTTTAGATTATATGGTGGAATTTGTTGGGCATGATGGACAGTATACAAAAGGTAACAATGAAACATTAGGTATATGGTCAAGTTACCCGCCAGATTTTATTTCTAATATGAATGGTTTCAGTGATCAGGTAAATTGAACTTTTTATTGAAGCTCATTTAAGAAACTCTTATTTTTAACTAGCATACCTAACTTTTGTTTTTAAATTTTGTGTTTATATATAGGTTCTTGCCACAGCTATGTTTGTCGGAACCATATTTGCAATCTTAGACCATAAAAATATTGGAGTAGGAGCAAACATAGCTCCGTTCTTAATTGGTTTATTCGTTTTAACTGCTGGTGCCACGTTTGGAATAAATGCTGGGTTTGGTTTAAATCCGGCTAGAGATCTTGGACCAAGAATTTTTATTTCTATGGTTGGATGGGGAAGTGTCCCGTTTAGGTATATTTTATTCTAGTTGATCCTGAACATTGAATAAGTTCTTAATCAAACAAGAAAAAAATTTAAATTTAGTAATCATGGTCATTGGTGGATTTATTCTATACTTGGTCAGCTGTTAGGAGGAGTCATTGGAGGCGTTGTTTATGAGTTCACAATTGCCATTCATCACGAAATTGATGAAGAGCTATCAACTGAAGCTTCAAGAGATGAGGCAACGAATTTGTTAGAAAACGGATTAACTTCTCCTAAAGCCGTTCGTTGAAAACCTAACCTCAATTACTTTAAAGAAAACTACAAAAAAAAGTTTAAAATGTAAATTTAATTCCAGCGCATTTTTAGCGCATATTAATTTTTACTTTAACTTTTAAAAACTTATATAGCTTATATAACGTTAGCTAAAAAAAATTGCAAAAATTAAATATTTTTTTGAAATAAGTTTTTAAAAATGTTTAATGTACAAAAATGCGAAAGTTAAATAAATCAAAATTTAATTTTTACTAAGTTCTCATAAACTCATTACTTATTAGAAAATTACTTTAATTGTAACTTTATTATTTTGCATTTTATTACCTTTTAAAATTCTCTTGATTTCGATTCAACAATTCTTATAAGAAATGAAACAAAAGACAATTGTACAGAAATGTTATTTTATATATAAAAGAAAGTTTTTTATTAACTATATATAATTATATTTTTTTATAAATTTTTATATTGTATTCAGTATAAAAATTAATTAAATCAGTTTATATTCTTCAAAATGAGTTTATATTCTTTATAAATTTTAATTATAAAAAGAATCAGTTTATATTCTTCAAAATCAGTTTATATTTTTTATATTCTTCCATTTTGTGAGCTCATTCCGAAAACTCTAATTTTTTATGGTTTTAGGTTTTATGAAATATTTTTATACTTAAGGAAATTTATTTATGTACGCAAAGTATGAAAAGTAATTAGACATAACATATTAATCAAAGCTTCCATTAAATACCCTTCCAACTTTTTCAATCATGGATAAATCTGAAAACTAACTTTTCTACTTGCATTTTTAGTATTTTTAAATCTTGCCAAGTTTCCATTATTTCTTTCCATAATTTTAAATGAAAAAAGTATAAATATGCTTGAGCTTTGTTGCTGCTTAACGATTAAAATCTATAACATATTATTTTATGGTTAATATTCTTTCATAAATTTGTTCGGCATGAAATGATATGAAAAATGAAACTTTGATTATACTTCCGAATGTTATATTTATATTATAACGTTACTTATTTTTTCGCTATGTGAAAGTTTACTACAAAATATTTTTAAAATCATTATAAAGATGGTAATCTTTATAAAGATGGTAATCTTTATAAAGATGGTAATCTTTATAAAGATGGTAATCTTTATAAAGATGGTAATCTTTATAAAGATGGTAATCTTTATAAAGATGATAATCTTTATAAAGATGGTAACCTTTATAATGGTAAAAGGTTTTATGTGCAATACTCACACCCACCACGATCCCCACCACGTCCCTGGTAGTACCGCGCTCAACTCGTTTCTCCGCGCAGCGGCCTTGTTTGTCAAGGTTCGTGTTTCGAAGTTTATAGAGTTGAGAGAGGGTTATAGCCACAAATAAGTAGCCTCCTCGTCTGTAGTGGCCTTCTCGGCCTTGAGGAGGTGAATTAAAATAAAAAAAAAAAAAAAGATCATTTTAGTGTTTGAAATGCCTAACTTTTAGACAAAAATCAAACTTGGGTATTTTTATGCTTTTTTTTTAATGCTTTGCAAAAAAAAAAAAAAAAAAAATACAGAGCTTTAAATGAACAACAAAATACCTTGTACTTCTCAAAATCTATTGTGCCTCCCAAACCCAAATGTGAAGGCAAATAAAATATGTATCTAATTTTTTTATTTTCACTATTATATATTGAATTTATCGGAAGATGAAGTATGAAGAATCTTTTGTATACTTTATCTTTTGTATACTTCATCTTCCGATAAAAAAACTACTAAAAAGTCTCTTTTTTAAGTAGTTTTTTTGTTTTTTTTAATGTTTGATATCTTTTTGTAATAAAAAAGTTGTAATAGTAAAGACATGTCGTTATAACTTTTTAATTGTAACTAATTATTTAACTTTTTAATTATAACAAAACAATCCTCCTTTAGTAATTTATTGTTTTTGTTTTGTTCAATAATTTTTTGAACCAATTAAAAACTACCCAGTGGGAAAAAAGACGTTGAAAAGACGTTTTTAAAAGTCTTATTTAAGATGTCTTTAAGGCGTCTTTTTTTAATCGATTTTGCACATCTTTTTTCGACATCGAAAATACGTTTTTTTTTTGTCTTTATGTTGTCATGGAAAGTCATGAAAATGCGTCTTAAAGACGCCTTTTTTTAGTCGATTATTTAAATCTAAGACATCTTTTTTCGACATCGAAAAGACGTGTTTTTCTATTTTTATCTTGTCATGAAAAGTCATGAAAATGCGTCTTTAAGACGCCTTTTTTTAGTCGATTATTCAAATCTAAAAGGCATCTTTTTTCGACATCGAAAAGACGTATTTTTTTGTTATAAAAAGACATGAAAAATGCAACTTTAAGACGTCTTTCTTTAGTCGATTATGCAAATCTAAAAAACATCTTTTTTCAACATAGAAAAGACGTCTTTTTTGTCTTTAGCTTGTCATGATAAGGCATAAAAAATGCGTTAATCGTATTTGTTAATCATAATTAACAAATTATACACATCTGAAAAAGTTTTTCTTCCTGGCGTCGGAAGGTGCCAAGAAAAAAAACCTCTTTTAGAAGTCAATATAAAAGAGGAAGCATTTTCTTTATTTTTTATAGGTTTAAACATAGGAGAATTATTTATAAATAAAACAGCAGTATTGTTCAGCAGAATATATTAATAAAATTAAGAGTTAAATGAATTAAGTTAAATTAAGTTAAATAAATTAAGAGTCATCAGCAGATTCATCTCCAAACATTTTTTTCACCTTCCTCTTTTTCATCTGTTTCTTGAGCTTTCTCCTTTGTTCTTGGCGTTGTTGCCTACGCAACCCTCCCCCCCCCCCCCAATTTGATCAGGGGCGTTCTTCAGCTTTCTCTGAATAAAATTAACTATTTCTCGTCGAGAAGTCTTTTTATACGAGCTGGCTGCGACTTCTAAAAAATGAGTGAACATGAAAAACAGTCACTTTTATTGTAATATGTAATAGCAAATGAAATTTTATCAGCTGAGTGAAACACATTAGACTTACCAACTATTAATTCAAAAACGGCTGATCCTTTCAACCCCCTCTTATTTCCACAAATTGGGACTGAAGTCCAACGGTAAACAGTCTAAAAATATAATAAATGAGTATGCTAAAGAAATTTATTAATATCAAAATGAATGTACAACGATGTATTATATTATGTAGTACTTAAAGCAAACTAAGCATTTGCACCTCTCAGATTTGCTATGAAAGACAAGTTATCAAAAACAGATGTTGATATTTTTCTTGTCTTCTATGACGTAACTTTTTAATTTAATTTCGTTGAAATTAAGTGTTGTAGACCCATAACATTTTAAAAATCCGTTATTGACTAAGGACCATCAAAAACGAAAAGATATTTCAGCTAATATATATACTGTTGCGGTAGTGGTGTAGTGGTAGAGAATAAAGATATTTCAGCTAATATATATATACTATGCGGTAGTGGTGTAGTGGTAGAGCGCTCGCTTCATAAACGAGTGGTTCCGGGTTCGATCCCCACAACGTCCCTGGTAGTACCGCGCTCAACTCGTTTCTCCGCGCAGCGGCCTTGTTCGTCAAGGTTCGTGTTTCGGAGTTATAGAGTTGAGAGAGGGTTATAGCCACAAAATAAGTAGCTTCCTCGTCTGTAGTGGCCTTCTCGGCCTTGAGGAGGTGAATTAAAATTAAAAAAAAAAAAAAAAAAAAAAAAAAATACACCTTGAGAGTTGTTATTTATTTAAACTAAATAAACCTATTGTTCAAAGCTCAATTTTAGCCTGAAATATAATGATGCTTTACCTAACAACATAAAATTTTAAAAACAGGCGATATCATTATCAACACAGATGAATCACACATGAACAAAAATAAAGACTAGAAAGCTGCAATGTTGTTTAGCTAAAAGAAAGTGTACCTTTCTAGTATCGTTTTTACTTGGTCTTTCGCATCCAAACCACGGACCTGACGTAAAGATTTTCTCTGAAAGATAACAATAATAAATACTATAGCAACGATGTTTAAAAACAGCTTTCTGGTTATAGTGAGGTTCTCTCACCTTACTTATAAAATTTTATTACTAAAATCACAAGATATTGGAAAATGCATAACTTTTCAATCTTGTTTGAATATCAAAAACTAGACATAAAAAAAATATAACAAATACCATGATTGAACGTTTCTGTTCGTCTAACAACTCTCTTTTAAAGGCATTAAAATCTTCCATCATTGCCATCATTTTTATTGCATGGTTATCCTTTTCTTCTGTTGGCCAACAACAATTTACAACGTTTTCCTTTATCTCCCACAAGAAACCAAGTGACTGTTTCCAATATAACTGGCATTACAGCCAGCGCAAAAAAATTTATATAAAACATGAGATTTAAGCAGTTTAGGAAGTGTTTCACCTTTACCGAAAATAGTAACAGTCGCGTAATTCTGGTTATCTTGAGCAACATAAATAAAGTTTTTTTAAAGGTTTTTATGTACAAAACACGGGTCAATCGTAACATAGATGAGGTACGGATTATAGCCCATAATGTTGTAACATAGTCATAAGAATGAACACTTTTTATGATTATGGTTGTAAATACGATCTTTATGGCTTAAATTTTAACCCATCATAAATTTTATGATTTATAAAAAAATTATGGGTTAAATTTTAACCCATTTAAATATCGTAATTACGATGTTATGGGCTAAAACCCATAATATCGTAATTACGATAATATGGTCTAAAACCCATAATATCGTATATACGATATTATGGGTTAGCTTAATTGGCAATTAGCTAATTATAATTTTTTATTATAATTATAATAAACAAATTATAATTATAATAAACAAATTATAATTATAATAAACAAATTATAATTATAATAAACAAATTATAATTATAATAAACAAATTATAATTATAATAAACAAATTATAATTATAATAAACAAATTATAATTATAATAAACAAATTATAATTATAATAAACAAATTATAATTATAATAAACAATTATAATTTGCTTAACAACTTAAGTTGGTACTAAGCAAAGCAGTCGTACGATAATATCGTAATTATGATATTATGGGTTATAACCCATCTTTGTTACTTTCTGATTGACCCGTTTTTTGTAAATTAGTTTTCAAATTATATTTTTCTTACTGAATGCACAGTAAAACAAGTGAAAACTTATAAGTTTTCACTTGTTTTACCGTTTATACTATTCTCAGTGGGAAACGTGAGTGAACTTACCCCTCCCCTCCCTAAAAGAAAAAAAGTCTTACTGATTGTTGTTTAATTTGTCATTTAAACAAAAAATATCTTTTTTTTTTTTTTTTAAGGATCGTTGCCATAAAAGACGTCTTTATACGTCTTTAAAAAGACGTTCAACCGACTGACGTCTTTTCGACCTCTTTTTTAAAGACGTCTTTTTAAAAGACGTCTTTCCACGTCTTTATTAAGGCTGATTATAAAAAGACATTGCAAATCATAAAAAAGACGCCTTTTATTCACCTAAAGATGTCTTTTTTCACACTGGGTAATAATGAATTTGGAATAAATGTTGTTGTTGTGTTGCTGCTCTTAACTGACTCTAAATGATCTCGTTGTTGCTTCTTAACACTTATTCTTAAATGTAAGAAAAACGTGTGAAACGTTCAATGTAAGAAACGCGTTTGCAAAGATATATTTAACTCATGTTTTTTCCTTGAATTAAAGACTTTTTTAAAATACCATGTAAGTTCAATGAACTTTGCATTGTAAACCAAACAATCCAATTGGACTTTTTGGTTTACAATGACTCAGGGGCGGATCCAGCATATTTTGGTCTTTGAGATAGCTAACTTCCAGACATAGAGTTAATTCCAAACATTTTTATGTTTATACTTATGTCAAATAAGGATGCTTTTCAAAAAATTGCAATGATTGGAGGGTGGGAAAAAAAAATCCCTAAAATTTTTGCCCCCTTGCCCCAAATGTAAGAGCAACATGTCGATGAAATATTTTTTGCACTATTCTCAACTAGACTTATATTCATCGATAAATTTTAAGTTTTTTAGTATTATCTCTCATCGTTCAAAAATTATGACGATATAAAACTTTATTTATCATAATTTTTAACGCTAAAATATTTTACTATGAAATTTAAAATTTATCGGTAAATATAAGTCTAATTAAAAATAATACAAAAAATATTTCATCAACTTGTTGCTCTTACGTTTGGAGCAGGGGGGCAAAAATTATGAGGCTTTTTTGTTCCCAGCATTCAATTATCGCAGTGTATAAACTTAATATCTGGAGGTTAGCTTTATCTCAACGACCAAAAAATGCTGGATCCGCCCCTGCAATGACTTTATTGCTTACGACTTTATTGCTTACAAAGATTGCTTTAGGTTAATTGCCCACAAAAATTGCACTAGGTTTATTTGCTCAAAATGATAGTATTAGGTTAATTGCTTACAAAGTTTGCACTAGCCTTATTGCTTACAAAGATCACACAAGGTTTTATTGCTCACAAAAATTGCACGGTTTTATTGCTCACTAAGGTTGCCCTAGGTTATTGGAGTGTAATTATGTTAACTATTTTGTTAAAAATAATACAACTCTTGTCGATATGAAATTCATTCATTTATAAAGTAGAATAAAATATATTTAAACAAATTTAAATAAAAAAACAAAACATTTTAAACATTTTCTTTACTTTTCATAATTTTTTTAAATCAAGTTTGCAATCCACTGAAAACCAGATAGTCAGATATTAAAGCAACACTGAATTTTTTAAGAATCTCCAAAAATTTAAGAAAAACAAGTATTAAATCAATTATTAGATAAAGCATATTTTAAAAAAATCAACATTCATGTTGTGACATATAATCATAAATCCTTGTTTAACAAATAAAGTGAAATGGTTAAAACAAAAAAATGGTTCTAATAGAGTATCTTGGGATACACCTGTAATAGAGAATCTTCGGATACACCTGAAGAGCAATTTATTAGCAAAGATTTGGCATTGATGAAAACTATTAGAGAGCAATACCACAAAAAATAAATTGTTCCGACTTACTTAGAAGAATGGAGTGATCAACAGAATCAAATGCTTTATCTAAGTTAAAAATACATAGAATACATAAAGAGAATATATCTTTAAAAAAAACCGTTTTTCAAAAGAATTATTTAATATGATAGGAGCTTGGATGTAACATGAAGAAAAAGTATAAGAAGATGTGTGATGATGCTGTATGAACCTTTTTTTATAATCAATTTGCAGAGTGTTTTTTATTAAATCAGAAACTTTTTTTTTAGTCACTGAATTAAGAAAGAAAAATTAAAATCAGAAATTTTTGGAAAGAAAATTATAAATTTTAAAAGAAAAATAATTTTCCTTAAAGGTGAACGTTGTATAGTTTAAAATTAGTTTTCAAATATGTTAGCAACAGCCATGTTGTCCGAGAAAGTGTTACCATTAGATTTGAAAATGTAAGACTTAATTGGTGAGGAGGCTTTAATTTTAACATTTTTATTTATTCTTTTCCGTGTTTAATTTTAATATTTTCATTTATTCCTTTCCGTGTTTTTTGTTGTTGAGGTTTTTGTTGAAGAAGATTATGTAGAATGAATCTTTGAAAATTCTTATTAAGTTGCTTATTATATATGAATAAACTCTAACAAAATCCTGTACAGTTTAATAAAAAAATTAAACTGTACAGGATATTTTTAGAGTTTATTTATACGATGGAGTAGTTCTTTTAAAGGCAGTTCATACGATGGAGTATTTTTAAAGGCAGTTACATTATTTTATATGGAAGATAATCTTTGTTCACTTTGCAAGAGGTTGTTTTTGTTATGCTTGGAAGTTGGTTAGAGCTAGAACAAAAAAAAATCATAAATAATTAGGATAATTATTTATGATTTGTTTTTTTTTATTATTTTGACAAATATAACAATGTACCATCACAAAAGGTTTTAGTTGGTGATTGCATAATGTTGTATTTATCAGATGATTTAAGGATATTCCTCTTTTAACCTTGGAAAAAGTTTCAATTGGAAAAAAAATTCAAGGAAAGATCAAAACTAATTACACAGAGTAATATGTTTCCAACTAAATACAAATACTTTACCATTTTAAGGGTTATCTTGTTGTAGTAAGTGTTCCAATTTGAATTTATATAGTTAGTGTTTTATCACATAATGGTAAAAACCTACTGAACAAAAAAAATAATGAAATTGTATTTCAGGGTCGGCATTCGAAAAAATTCTCATTATCTTAATTTGACACAGGAGACTTATAAGCTATAATTGCTTTTTTTTATTTATTTGTTATTTACTTAGATTGGTTTATCACATCTGAACTCATTCTACAGTAATTTTTACGTTTTTGTAACGGTTTGTTAACGTTTTTTATTTGTATTAATGGCTGATGATTGTCTTCATGCATAAAACTAAAAGTCTCGCCTATCAGTTAATTTTATTCATTGGAACCGCAAAATTCGGGTCTTGGTAAGTCTATTCCGTAACAACCATTTCTATACTTATTTACATAAATATTCTTTACTAAATAATAGAACAATTGTTCATTTAAATTTTATTAAACTATTATGCGCACTTTTTCTGCGTACTTAGGACTTATTAGAACCTCACCCCGTTTATCTAATTCAATAAAAAGTTTTAAGACCTTCCTACTTTAAAATAGAATATTGTCTCATTACTGCATTAGATGCGCAGATTTACCAAATCGCTTACGTAAACAAATAATAAAAATCTTTTGCATAGATGACAATATCGTGACATTTATTCCAATGTTTTTCAAAATTTAAGGCTTTAATATCATTTTCTCCTTCTTATTAAGACTATTTTTATTAAAAAAGCAAAAGAAGACCCAGAAGCGGGTCACGAGGAGCTTGTTAAGCCAAATAATTTAAATGTACCAGTTTAGTTTTTTATTTAGCAACTTTTCTGTAATAAAATCTCAACAAAATCTTTTAATTATACTGTTTTTATATCGGTTTTGGTAGGTTATTATGTTATGACGTAATTTTTAGCAGGCAGAGCTGTCGAGGAGTGGAGAGGCTGGGTGAAGCCATTAATAATAAAATTGATTAAAATTTATTGTTTTATTCGGTAGTAGAAAAAATATGTTCTTAATACTTGCTATATATATACATACATATATATATATATATATATATATATATATATATATATATATATATATATATATATATATATATATATATATATATATATATATATATATATATATATATATATATATATAAAGTGAAAGACTTACGAACTAAGCCTTTCATTTTTTGTCTATTTATGTTACTAATGTTATCTTATATATAAAAAGATAATCCAATAATAAAAAAAAAAGATAATTCTTATTTATTCTCTACTTTTAACTATTTTCTCTATGTTTTAAATTCTGTTATCCGCCCATATATACATAATGTTGCCATCATCTTTATAAACACATCTAACTAAGTTACTTCTTATTTCGATTGTACAAAAAGTATTGGTAAAAAAGTTATACCTGCTTTAGCACCCAAAATTATTTAAACCGTTATCGCCGTAATGCTGTTTATTTCTCTATTTTACAAATACTATCATTTGTATTACAAATATTACCATTTATATATTCAAGCAGAAAAAAATATATTTGTATTAAACGGATGCGTTCTAAGCATTATTGAAATAATTTTGTATAAGATGCCGTTAATTTTATAAAATAAATTTTTATCATAAAGCTAATCAAAAGATTTTTTTTACCAAACTAAGATTGAATTGGTGTTAAAAATAAATTTTTCAGATTTTTTTATTTTTAAATTACATATATATACTAATTTACAATAATTTTTTGTACTAATTTCAATCACTTGTATAATCTGAAGAGAATAATAGCTCTCCTTTATAAATTTTGTTGTCCAAAAGAACTTTCAGCGAAATCTTATCTTCTGAAACCTGTAAAACGTCGAAAGAAAAGCGCCGCAACGGTATTTCAGTGTTAAGATTTTTACGTTTACGTTCGTTACTTTTATTTTCGGTCTTCGGCGAAAGATTACGTTTTCTATAAACTTCACTTTGTAGATAATAAGGATATTGAAAACCCTCCTCTTCTATTATCTGGCGGCTGTCGAAACACGTTCCATTGAATTGCTTAAGAAATAAGATATTATGATAAAAAAAAAAAGATAATTTCTAGATCAAAACTAATTTTTTAATAATTTATTATAAAAAATCATCAGTTTTAAGCATTCAAAAATTCTAAAGTATGTTTATAAGAAAAAATGTACATAAGTTATGTACTATTGTTTTAAGATGCTGTCATTAGAGCAGGGTTGCCTGACATTATAATACTGGCTTTTTCAAGCAATACTTAGCTTTCATTTTTTCAGGTCCAATGCTAAAATAAATTTGGCATTAACCAATTATTTTTAACATAGTATTTTCATAAATTTTCTTCTATTTTTCTTTTAACTTGTGCCATTTTCTTGCAATTTAATCTTAAACTAAATCAGTATTTATTTAATCCATTTGGCAACCCTGTACAAAAGCATGTCCTGTAACGTCTTTAGGATGTTTAATGTCTTAAAGGGTATACTAAAAAAAAGTATTTTATAACGTCTACTGATCCGTCTTAATTACGCAATAAAATTATTGATATTTAAATACCTTGTCATTGTTATGTCTTTCAGGAAACTCCCTTTTTAAGTTTCCGTTAAAGTTGATTAGAGATTCGTGAAAATCTTTTGTTTTAGAAACACGAAAAATATTTGAAGTTTCTTCGAAATTTTTATGAATAAAACTGTTTGAATCACATTGTTGATATATCATGTTTGGCGAGGGTTGCTTACTTGATGATACAGGAGAATTTTCTAAACTACTTTCTCGATAATCTGAATCGTTATTATCGTTACTATCGAGAAGAAGAGAGTCGTTAAATAATAAAGACTGGTTCATTGGTTTTTTACATCTGTAACATTCAAACTGGTATAATAATCGAACATACCTTAAATTAAAATAATTGTTATATAAACAGAATATATATTTAATGAGATGTTTACAATTTTGTTGCTAGGTTTATTATGACTTGGTTTATTACAGCTGGATTTTTTTAGTTAGATTTAATATGGTTAGGTATAGTTAAATAAATTTTAAGTGTTTTATACTTAAGTTTTAACGTGAATGCTCCGCTTGTCATCGTGCGAGGGAGATCGAGTTCTCGAGCAATTTGACTCCACATGCGGTTTTTCAAAGTCTATACATGGTAAATTGCATAATTTTTTTTTTTTTTAAAAAAAAAAAAAAAAATGGGGTTGTTTAAAAATACAAAATACAAAAAAAAAAAAAAAAAAAGTATAAACATTTCTGATACAATAAAAACTTACTTGTTCAAAACCGCCGTACTTTTGAACAGTATTGTAAAGAATAAATATATCTAATGGTTTCCTAGCAATCACAGGAATCTTACAATAGAGGCCTAAATGAATAAAACATAAAAAGAATAAACACATAAATAAAAGAAATACATATAACTAAGTAAATATAAAAAATACATATAACATAAAATAAATAAATATAAATAACATAATATATAATATATAACATAAAATAAATAAATACATATAACTAAGTAAATATATAAGCTTAAAAAGCTTTTATATAACATTTTTTCTTAATCCTTTTGTGTATCCCACAGCTTTAATAGCCACCATTTAGTGGGCACCACAGCTAAAATATATTTAAAAACTTCTATAATCTTCAAAAAGCAATTGTTTCAGATTATTACCAAAAATAAATTGTATTTGGTATATCCTTAATATAACTAATTTCGCAATACGAGAAAAAAATTTATATAGGTTTCTTTAACAAATGAAATTATTTGAAGAAAGATTAAAATTAAAGAAATTTATAGTAAAATGAAACTTAACTATTGCTTTCAATTACCAAACTTTTTTCTGAACAAACAATAAAACATGCACAGCATTAAAACAAATTAAATAAGAAAATGTTTATTATAAACCGAAGATAAATCAATTAAAAGTATACAAATTTTTTTTTTTTTTTTGTATAACAATAGTATCGAAATCAATTTTGGGTTTATGACTTTTTTTCATTACAACAAATAAAGCAAAAAGTACTACCTCTTTTTCTTCGGTAATCAAAAAATTCATCTAAAAAAGGTCTTCGATTCGGATGACTGTCGAGTGCGTAAAGCTGTAAAACAATACTGATGTTTTTTTAATTTTAGAGTTTTAGATACATGTTTTATACATTTATTACATTTAGGGTACATTTGAGGTCATATAAGTGCATTCAGATTTATGTTCATAATGTACAATATTGAATGTCCCCGCGTTCTTTTATTATTTAATAACGATCATTATATATATATATATATATATATATATATATATATATATATATATATATATATATATATATATATATATATATTATTAATTTGTATTTTAAATATTGCAACAAAATGCTTATTTAAAATGTAATAAAAAAAACAAAACAAAAAAAAATGTAAATACAAAATTGAAGAAACGCAAATACATAAATGGTTACTGTAACTTACATTACACCCTTGGCCACACACCACCCACATACTCAATCACTCATACAGATACACCCACACGCACACACAAGCATACACCCACACACATACACACACCGCATATATATACGCACACACACAAACACACACACATATATATATATATATATATATATATATGTATGTGTGTGTGTATATATATATATATATATATATATATATATATATATATATATATATATATATATATATATATATATATATATATATATATATATATATATATATATATATATATATGTATATATATATATATATATATATATATATATTCATATATATATATATATATATATATATATATATATATATATATATATATATATATATATATATATATATATATATTCATATATATATATATATATATATATATATATATATATATATATATATATATTTATATATATATATATATACACACACACACACACACACACATATATATATATATATATATATATATGTATATATATATATATATATATATATATATATATATATATATATATATATATATATATATATATATATATATATATGTATATATATATATATATATATATATATATATATATGCCATGAGTAATTTTTAAAACATGATATTACTGAAATACAATTCGTGCAAAGTATGCATATATATACATGTTTAAATGCAGAGTAATCAAGCACAATCGAGATTTTAGGAAAATCGTCTAAAAATATTTCCGCCATAAATTTCTTTTAATTTAGTTTTCAAACATTTTCAATTGCATACCTACCAAATAAACATAAAAAGGTTCATTAGGTTGGCTCAATTTATTATAACTGTTTTTATGCAGATTTTTTTGCTCTTTCAATGGATATTTACTTTTTAAAAGATTGAAAATTGCTTTTTATATGTTTTTATCAATGTTAATAAAAAGCTTCTTTAACAACATTGTAACAATTATAACTTGCCAAGAACTCTAATTAATTGATTTTTTTTTTTCATGAATCATTATTACTGCTTTTTATATTTCTGCAAATTAACAAGAAAAATTAATGATTGTTGAAAAACATATTCAAAAGCTCATGTTCATTTTAATTTGTTTTATTCAGAAGATATATTTAATGAAAAACATAATTATTCAAATTTGATTAACTTTCAATTGCTGAAATTGTTCATAGAACAGGTAGTTATTTGTTCTAAATTCAAGAGATGTAACATGGAACAAACTTGCTTTGTGCGTGGAACTAGCTTAATAACTAGGCGTTAGTACGCCTCTTGAGTAAAGGTGGCTATCAAATTACTATGTTTATATATATATATATATATATATATATATATATATATATATATATATATATATATATATATATATATATATATATATATATATATATATATATATAAACATAATTATTTAAATTTGATTAACTTTCAATTGCTGAAATTGTTCATAGAACAGGTAGTTATTTGTTCTAAATTCAAGAGATATAACATGGAACAAACTTGCTTTGCGCGTGGAACTAGCTTAATAATTAGGCGTTAGTACGCCTCTTGAGTAAAGGTGGGTATCAAATTACTATGTTTTATGATACGCACCTTTAAACGCTTTTTTGGTTATGTACACCACTAAACTTTAAAAGTGCTAGTATACGCCGAAAAATTTGTTAAAAATATTCAAATTTATTGGGATATAATTGCACTTTTTTTTTTTGTTTTGCAACAATTGTTTAAAATATGCCGATAAGCTTTAAAATTCATTGTATTCGTAATAAATAATAAATATTAAAAGTGCTTGTATGTGCCGAAAAAAGTGCTTGTATATGCCAATAAAAGTGCTTGTATATGCCGATAAAAGTACTTGTAAATGCCGATAAAAGTGCTTCTATATGTCGATAAAAGTACTTCTATATGTCGATAAAAGTGCTTCTATATGTCTATAAAAGTGCTTCTATATGTCAATAAAAGTGCTTGTATATATCGATAAAAGTGCTTGTATATGTTAAAAAATTTTAAAGATGTTTTATCAATTTCAAGAATGCGCGCGTATACTTGAATACAATACACGTATAATAGTGCTTGAATTTAATAATTTAACAATAAAGTTATAAGTTAAAATGATAAAGATTTTAAAAATAATTAATTAATATTATCTTTAAATTTTATTGATAAACCAAAAATATAAGATTTGCTTACTTTTTTATTGTTTTCTTCGTACAACCAAACATTTCCTACTTCGTTTTTTTCACGTGAAGATAAATCTTGCTTTCGCTCTCCCATTTGAGTTTTATAAATTCTAAATAAAATAAATTTTAGAGTTTGGACCAATTATATTGTAAACTAATTTTAATTAAAAATGTTTAATCGAATGATATAATAATAAATAAGAATGCTATCTATATTTATATATATATATATATATATATATATATATATATATATATATATATATATATATATATATATATATATATAATGCATAAATAGTTTTTATTTTATATCAGGTCATAATAAAAAAAAGAATTGTTGTTTAACATTGTTTAGTTAATTATAAATATCAGGCAAATTTATAAATATTATTTATTATGGACAAATTCCAAATACAACAGCTTTTATAAAACAAACGAATGCAATGTGGTCTACATAAAAAAATTTTTATACGGCCGTCAGGAGACTTTTATCAAAAAAAGGGGTGGACAGCAATTATCTGAACAAAGAATATTGATCTTAGCAAACAAAACAAACTTAATTAAGTGATGTAAAATCTGAGCTGATTAAATATTACTGGGTTTTGCAAGATATATTACTTTTTACATCCGCTTGCTTAAAATTAGTTGTCTACCAGGTTTCTCTTTTCTTTAGTGTTATAAAATAGTCCTTGCCAAAATAAAAAAGTTTTTAAAATTTCAAAGAGTATATTTTAGTTAAATTTTGTTATGGTTTTTTAGGAACCATTAATAACTTTAAAAACAATCTTAAATCAAAAGATTTACACACGTTCTATTACAACAAGATTAATTTGCACATTTGGTTCAACACTTCCAATTAATATTGAGAGCAGACACGTTTAAGTTCTAGAGCATTACGTCATTGTCATTAAAATAAGCTACGCCCCTTCTTATTAATGCATATAGATATATATTCATAAACCCGCTTTTTAAACATTTTTACTTTGTATAGTAATATGAGTATAAAACATAATTTGATTCTCAAATTTTTTTACTCTTCTTCTTTGTTTAAAAATATTACAAAGTTTAAAATGATATATTTGAAAAATTTAAAACAAAAGTTTTTGTTTCAATAAAATATTAACAACTGTAGTAGTTTGTATGTGTTGTGTATGTTTATTGTTTTATGTTTATCACAAAATAAAAAAAAATAATAATAAAATACAATCATTGGACTTATTTATTTATGCAGATTAACGTTCTCACCTTCTCAATTAAATGATTTTTTGTTTTATATTTGATAATGTTCTCTAAATAGATTGCCATGACAATCCCTTGATAATGTTTCAAGTAAAAAAAAATTTTAAATTTAATACGTAAAATTGAGAACCTAATTGTATTTATAGCTAAGTTTTCTGCAGACAGTCAGCTTACTAAACAGTCAGTGTAATTCTTACAAAATAGATATTATATTTTTTTACAAAACAGACAGTGTAATTTTTACTAAAGAGTTTCTCTATTTCTTTCTAATAAGTTTGTATAATGCTTACTTACGTTATTTTATGGCTTGCCTTTGTTAAATTACATTCGGCTATAGTTAACTTATTGCTTGCTAAAGTCAATATATTGCTTGCTGTTATAAGTAATTAATCAACTATGTTTTTATAATATATTGCTTACAATCTATAATATGTATTACCAATACATCTGCAGTTAAAGTTTTGTAAGGTTAAGTTGCAATAAAACCCTTGTGTTATACTGTTTTAAAATATTTTTTTTAGAATGGAAGCAAAAAAAGTTAATTTATTAACATATAATAATTTCTCTTCTTAAACTACTATGCAACATTTCTATTGGGACAATTTTATTGCAACTTACATTAATGTGTCTACAATCAAATATTTTTTATAAATAAATATTTTTAAATGTTTGCAAAGTTCTTTTTCTAGTTTTTCTTTCAAGAAAACAAATTGACTCTCAGATAAATAAGATTTTTGCTTTTTTCCTTTTTAAAAAAAATAAAAGTATGTATAATGTAGTATAATGATCAAAAAGTTTTAATAGTAGTATAATGATCAAAAAGTTTTAATAGACATATATAAACATACTTTTGAGAGATTTAGTAGTGAGCAATCGTGTTAGAATATTGCTAACCTAATAAGTCCAAAAAAAGCCTTGTTTTGAGACTTATTTGAGATTAAGCAAATATAAAGATAAAAAAATATGTATTCTTTTATATCCCCATCTTTTTGTAACAACTTCTATAGAAGTTTCATTAAAATGTATATAAACACAGAGGCGATTTTACGGGTGTGTGTGTGGGGGGGGGGGAGTGGAACTCCTTCTTCCTCCCCAAAGAAGGGGATTTTATAGTTATAGTCGGCTTTTTTACAAATTCTAGCTAGTCGGGTATTTGACACAATTCTATTGGGTAAATTTTAGTTTTGAGAACCTTATTTTTTTAAGCTAGTCCTTACTTTTTAAGGATTTATCCCCCTCCCCCTCATTTTATTCGTAGAATCGCCTCTGTATAAACAAAATGTTTTGAAAGTGCATAAAAAGTCAAAAGAACATTTTCCTCATGGGTATTCAAGATTTTAAATGTTTTTTTTAATATACAATTTAACCCCTTTGATATAAAAGTTGTTATGATTAAGGCTGTACCGGATTTAATTTTTCAAAATCCGGCCGGAGCCGGATATATCAGATTTCTACTTACAAATCCGGCCGGTACCAGATTTCAAAACATATTTACAGGAGCCAAAATTCTACATCCTGTACATATTGTATATCCCTACTTGATATTGAGAACGGTCAACAATGTTGACAATTCTCAATATTAAGTAAGGATGTACAATACTCAATACAAATTGAAAACTGTTTTTGTATTGTTATTAAAATAAAAGGAAAAAGGACACAATTTCACATAACATAACATAACAAAATAATAAATAAACTATTGAAACTTTCAATTTGAAAGTGAAGTAAAGTAACTTCAGTTTCAGTTATTTTTCTAAAATATCTTTGATCAGTTTTGAATTGTACTTTAAAAATATTCAGCGAACTACATTAAGTGGCAGGAGTGAACTACAATGATCATTGAGGACCTCCCCAGCACGGTAAATTTGTCGGTGGGGCACCCAAATAAATGCTAACTACTGTCACCAGAGCTGGCAATTGTTGCACATTGTCACTCCACCACTGTAGTGGACCAGCGTGTCTATTTATTTCTGGCTCTGCCAGATACTTGCTTAGCTGAGTGTCAATACCTATTGGTAATTGTTATTCATGTGCTGTACCACCAGCGGACGGACATTTTATACATAAAAGAATCTTATGTCTATTCCATAAGATTCTTTTATGTATAAAATGTAATTTTAATTGATCCCATTTATGTTTTTTTTTTAATAACGCATAAAATTTCAATAATAAACAGACCAAAAAAGATCACAGTTTTTCAGTGCATAATTTTCTCAATATTAAGTAAGGAGGTCCACTATTTCTTAACATAGTGGGCCTCTAACAGGAAGTAGTACAAGAATAAGTTATGTAATGTTTTGAAAGATAAATACTTTTATCTTTCAAAAAATTACATAAATACTATTTTAATCCTTTTTTCTTGCTTTATAATATATAGATTATATTAAAAATTATAAAATTAGTTAAAGATATAACACTTGTTTCTTTATCTTCATGATTTTGTAAAAAGTCAAAGGGGTTGCTTAACTTTATTATCTGTTTTGCTAAACAAGTCAAGATGATTGCTTGGGAAGACTTGATAAGATTGCAAATAGGGCTAAGTTTCTCCTTCTATTACAGCTTAACAAAAAAAATATTAAAACTATTACTTCTATTTTAATGTAAAAGTAGTTTTTTTTTAAATATTGTTAACAAATATAAAAAATAATTGTTAACAGTTTTTTAAAAGATTGTTAACGTGATTTTTAACGTATTTGTTGTTGCTGTTTTTTTTACGCCTAAAAAAATTGCTGATGGGTAGTTAATTACGTGTGGAACTTTTTGAGTATGGTTTTTTTGCATCTCATTTTTATTTTTTTCGGAACTTTAGGAAAGGCTGTTAATAATTTTTTTTAATTTAATAATGTTGTGGCAGAATTATATTTTATATACCATCTATATACCATCTTGATTCATTCCCTCAACCTGATGAAAAAGTTTTAAATTTTGATTCTTGTTGAAAATATTTCTACTTGCAAACTCATATCCTGCGTAAGTTTTCTAGCAGGTAATGAACCATTAAGATGAAGCAAACATAGTGATGAAGTAAACATAGTGATGAAGCAAACATAGTGATGAAGTAAACATAGTGATGAAGCAAACATAGTGATGAAGTAAACATAGTGATGAAGCAAACATAGTGATGAAGCAAACATAGTGATGAAGTAAACATAATGATGAAGTAAACATAGTGATGAAGTAAACATAGTGATGAAGTAAACATAGTGATGAAGCAAACATAGTGATGAAGCAAACATAGTGATGAAGTAAACATAGTGATGAAGAAAAAATAGTGATGAAGTAAACATAGTGATGAAGCAAACATAGTGATGAAGTAAACATAGTGATGAAGTAAACATAGCGATGAAGCAAACATAGTGATGAAGTAAACATAGTGATGAAGTAAACATAGTGATGAAGCAAACATAGTGACAAAATATTGTATGACTAATAGTTTATGAAAAACTCAAGAAAGATGACGGGGTAAGGAACAAATTTTTCCGTTTTTCATCTTTCCCCATCTTCTACTATATTATGGAGCCAAAAATTACTTTAGGCATCCGCAACGCAATGGACAGACTCAAAATTAAGAGCTCTGAAGTTCTATTTCTGCTCTAACCAAGAAATATTTATTAAATTATATTATTATATTAGCCGGGGGCAGCTAAAAAAGTATACAATTTCTAGTTATTTTAAACATATTTAAAAGCACTAATATTTTTAAAAAGGTTAGATTTCTATTTGAATAACTAATTTAAACGCATTGGAAAAAATTCCACTTTTAATCATTATTAATAGCATAAATGATTATGAATAGCTTAAACTTTTTGTATAACGCGATTTTAAATAAACCTTTATTGACATTAATCTGAATCAGTTTTTATAAGTAGCAAAATAATTAAACAATTCTTGATATTATTATTATGTATTTCACAATAAAGAAAAATTTACAAAACTATTTATCATAAAATGTAAATATTCGGCTTGAACAAGAAGAAGACAACTTCAATCTTATCGCCCCTTAATTATTTTAAACAATTATTTAATAGTTATTTCAAACAGGGGTTTGCTAAATTTATCTAAGGCAAAATGTAATATAAATATAAAATAGTCATACAAAACTAATTTAGTTTTGTACTTATTCAGTCTAAATATAGCAATTTTTAGTAAAAATTGCTATATTTAGACTGAATAGTCGAGTAAAAAATTTTCGAGTCTGGAAAGGAAAAAAATTAGAAAGAGTTTACATTCATTTTGTACATTTTTGTCATTTTACTCTAAATAAACTTTTTTTGTGTTAAAATTTTCTTCTTAAAAGCTATGAATTTAAAAAAAAAAAAAATTTTAATTAACATTCGAAGAGAGAAATTTTGAAATGATCTTTTTTATACATATTTCGTACATATATACACACACCCACGCAAATATTATATTAGACACACACACACACGCCCACCCACACGCCCACACACACACACGCACACATATAATGTGTGTGTGTCTGCGTTACTTATCTGTATATTAAACCATACTTATATGTGATATAAAATATCTCATATAAGTATGGTTTTTTTCACTAGTAAAAGTTAATAGGAGATAACATAAAATTAAAACTTATTGGTTATAAAGTTAATTTGAAACAATCTTTAAGAATTTGTACATATTTTAGTTAATAAAATAATAAACACGATATATCTTAAAATTACAACAAACCTTGAAAAAGATCAATCTAATTCAACCAATATAAAACTACGATCTACGAATTGGGGCGCTTTGATACGAAAGACATCATTTACATGTTTAATACTACTATATCTAAATGTTGTAATTGACTTATTTAAAACTTAAAATTAAAACTTATTTTAAATTAAAATCAAATAGACTTCTATAAATTTTAGTTACACAAATGAACTAAATTTAATGTAAATATGGCAGCTGTATATTACTCAATTTTTATGATTTACAAAAAACTTATTACAAAAGAAGTTATAAAGAATACAATTTGTTTTTCAATATGTATTACAGTCATGTTAGTTTTCTGCTTTTTGGCAAAAAATAGTGTCAAAAAAAATGGTTGTAAAAGTTCAATCTGTAACTGATGGTAAATAATAATCAGCTTTTTAAATTTCGAAATTAAATAACTTAATGAATGATTTAATGAATGACTTAATGAATGATTTAATGAACGGCTTAATGAATGACTTAATGAATGACTTAATGAGTGACTTAATGAATGATTTAATGAATGGCTTAATGAATGACTTAATGAATGACTTAATGCTGCTCAAGATTTTGTCAATGTTGATTCAGTACTGAATTACGTGATTCAATGCTCCTTCATAAAATTTTTTTGGTTTTTAAACAAATAATAATACATTTAATATAAATGCAGTGAGGGCAAATTTATAATAAACTGTTTTAAGATTTTGAAACTTTTTTTACAGTCAACTAATTAATACATGCAATTTCATCTTTGACCATGGTACGTATTTTATTATTTTTTGCAGCTAATTCAAACGCCAACGAATGCGATGATTCTTTTTCTGCTGCTGTAAAAAATTGCTTATATTTCTAGTTAAACATAAAATATTCATATGGATTAAACTTCATTTTACAAGAATATCTTTTGAACGTCATTCTTTCTCTGCTTAACTTGGGTGCAACGTTCAATGGCTTTCCTCCTAAAACTTACCACCTTTACCTTTTTATTTCAATTTTTTATTTTATTTCTAGCCACATTAGAACCTAAATATTTTTATAAAACATAATGAACAAAACATTGAATTTTGATATTGTCCACACCTATTTCATATGTTGTAAGTACAATTTAAAAATGGAAATTCGAAAGCTCGTTTCCGTTTGTTGATAAATAAATATTTTATTTATCACAAGTGTATATTTTTTTAAACAAAAAACCGTCTTATATGACTCACCAAATGAAAACCTTTGATCCTCCCATTAATGAGTCCCATAAAGTAAACGATCAATGAGAAATAGTTAACTTATTGATGACTATTTCTTCTAAAAAAATTGCAACCAACTGAAAAAAAATGTATATATATATATATATATATATATATATATATATATATATATATATATATATATATATATATATATACATATATATATGTATGTATATAAATATATAAATATATATATATATATAAATATATATATATATATATATATATATATATATATATATATATATATATATATATATATATATATATATATATATATATATATATATATATATATATATATATATATATATATATATATACATATATAGGCTGTTTTGCGGCATTCAACTTTAAGTCCGAATAAATTATAGTAACGTTAGTCTCAGTTTTAATAATGCATATGATCTTGCCGTTGTTCATATATAACATTATCAAACAATTTGTTATTCAAAACAATATAAAATAACAGACACAGAGCAGAGCCCAGAAAAATAGTACTTGTAGCTTCATGCCATTTAATTGATGACAACCTTTTGCTGCCGATTAGCCAATTATGCATTAATTTTTTTTTTTTTTTTTTTTTTCAGTTTACAATTATTAATCGTAATATAACAATATAACAATATATAAACTTGGTATCTGAAAGAAGATCCAAATGATCTTGTCGCCAGAACCATATAAAAGATATAATACGTGTATAAATAATAAAATAAAATACAATTGATCAAATAACTAATAACAATGTAGAAGAAACAAAAACTGAAAATAATTTTACAAATTATCCAGAGTAAAAAAAAAGAATTTTACATTTCAAAAATATTTATATATATTGCCAGTAGAAAGAATATAGTTTTTTAATTTAGTTTTAAAAACGGAAAACGAAATTGACAAATCAAAATTTGGAACAACAATTTTGTTCCATAAATACGGTGCTCTATAGTTTATGCAAAATTGATTAAACTTTGTTTGACAAAAGGGTTCAATTAATAAATTATTATTTCGTAAAGCATATTTGTTTATAGCTTTATAAGTAAAAAGATCTTTGAAATTGGACAATGGTCGTTCACTTTTACAACGAAACATAAAACATAAAATATTATAGACATTGAGTTCGTAAACGTTAAGTGCTTTAACGTTTTTAAATAAAATATTTGAATGAGAAAAACGATTTTCGAAACATATTAAACGCATTGCGTGTTTCTGACGATGGTAAAGACTTCGTAACTTACTTTTAGAGGTACTTCCCCAAACAATATTTGCATAATTTATATAGCTATGAATAAACGAGTAGTAGAGTTGAATTAAATTTTGTTTACTTAGATAGTATCTGACCTTATATAAAATTCCAATACTTTTAGCCAATTTAGTAGAAATATAGTCGATATGATACTTCCATGTAATATTTTCATCAATGTAAATGCCTAAAAATCTTGTGACCGACTCCTTTTTTATTTCAATTTTATCAATAAAAAGTTTAGGCAATTTATTTGGTAAAAAACGCTTTTTAGCAAGAGAGTGGAAAAGGATCCACTTTGTTTTGTCAATGCTTAAAGTTAACTTGTTGCACTTAAACCAGTTGGAGATCTGATTGAGTTCATTATTCATATTTGAAAAAAGCTCATAAATGCTACTGTTTGATAGAAATAAATTAGTATCGTCCGCAAAATTTATACTCATAAGGTTAGAAGCTTTATTTAAATCATTTATATAAACTAAAAACAAAAGTGGGCCTAGAATAGAACCCTGTGGAACACCACATTTTATGTCAATTAATTTTTCATTTTGAAAATAATCTCCATAGAAAACAAATTATTTTCTATTTTCCAAGTAACTTTGATACCATTTTATTAATTTGCCATTAATTCCGTAAAATTTGAGTTTTTTAAGCAGAATTTTGTGATCGACCGAGTCGAATGATTTTGATAGGTCAATGAAAATACCTAATGTATATTGTGATCTACCAAATGAATCGGAGATTTCACGAATGAACTGTGTAATGGCTTGTTCGGTTGAACAATTTTTTTTTAAAACCGAATTGATTTTTATATAGAAGTTTATTTTGATTAAGGTAATTGTATGTTCTATTGTATATAATTCTTTCTAAAATTTTTGAGAAAGTTGAAAGAACTGAGATAGGGCGATAATTACTATTATTTGATTTTTTTCCGTTTTTGTATATAGGAGTTACTTTAGCTATTTTTAATTGGTCGGGGAATACACCTTGCTGTATAGATGCCCTAAAGACTTTATAAAGAATACACTTTAAGTTTTCAAAGCAATCTATGACTATGTTGCCATTTATTTCGTCCGCACCCGTAGCTTTGTTTCTTTTGAGAGATTTGTAAGCTCTCTCAAACTCATCAAAAGATAAGTCAGAATGTAAATTATCTATAAAAAGCGAATTATTTATAGACTCTAGGAAATCATTAAAACTTTTTTCTGTAATAGGGATCTTGTTTGCCAATTTGGTTCCTATGTCAATGAAATATTTATTAAACTCGTTTGCAATTTCGTTTGGTTCATATATATTTGTTTTATTTATTTTAATTACTTTAGGAAGGGAGTTTGAATTTGTTTTTTGTTTTCCTGTTATTTCTTTCAACGTTCTCTAAGTATTTTTTGAGTCGTTTTTAAATTTACTAATTAAATTTGAATAATAATTTTTTTTTAATTTTTTACGAATTTTTTCAAATAAATTTTGGTAATTTTTATATTTTTGTTGGTTTTCATTTGATTTTGTTTTTAGATATTTTATATATAGTTTCTGTTTTATTTTAGAGGGTTTTCTAAGTCCTTTGGTAATCCATGGACTATTTAAGGTTTTTATTTTTGTTATTTTTTCACAAAGTGGAAAGTTTGCATCGTATATTGAGAAGAACGTATCAAAGAATTTATTATATATTGTATTTGCGTCTTCATTAAAGTTAATATGTTTCCAATGCAGAAGTGATAATTGATATTGGAAGGATTTTATATTGCTCTCATTGAAGACACGTTTTTTTATTATATTTTGTTTTTCGGGGTTATTAGAGGATACAGTATGGATTGTTAGAAAAATGGGGAAATGATCGGATATGTCGGTTTTTATAATTCCTTTTTTTAATTTTCTATTATAAATATCTGTTGTAAAAATATTATCAATCAACGTAGTTGAAGTTTTGATTATTCTAGTAGGGCGAATAATTAAAGGAACAGCTCCTGCCATAAGTATTTCATCATAAAAACTTTTTATTTTTTTATCTTTATTATAAATTAAACAGTTCATGTTGAAATCTCCAATTATAAAAGTAATTTCATGATTTTCAGTGCCATTTTTATTAAGAAATTCTTTTAACTCGTTGGGATAAAAATAAGAACAACATGTGTTCACATCATTAAAAAAGTTGACATCTGGATCTGAATTAAAATTTGATTTTAAGTACTTATCATGAAAATTAAAAGTAATGGATTCGTAGTCATCCATTTTTGTTTTTAAATTTAATTATAGAATATTAAAAGAATTCCTTTATAATAGGTCGCGCGTAATTAATTTATTGTAAACTATTTTTTGTATTTTTTTTATTTTATTTATTTATTTATTTATATTTATTTATTTATATTTATTTATTATATTTATTTATTTATATTTATTTATTTATTTATATTTATTCATTTATATTTATTTATTTATTTATATTTTTTGTATTTTTTGTATAATATTTATTGTAAAATCTAAGCAAGAGATAAATACCATGAGCTTTGAGTAAGTTTAAAAAACGATTATGTTTTATTTTTACAAAAGATTTTGCATAATCAGCATACATGTCTGATAAATTTAAAATGTCGCAAGTCGCAAAAAGGTTTGTGACACAAACTTTGCGTTTGACGAACCGGAGTTGAGTTTTATTTAGAAAAACATGACAAAAAAACAACAACATAGGAACGAACCAAAAATAAAAATAAAATGCATTTAAAACAAAATAAAACTAGTAAATGTAAATATGAAAGAAAAAAGTTTAAAGTATAACTTAAATTATTATGGATGGCTCGATGGAAAAACGCTAAGAACAAACATGAATAATATTTCTTATTCGCTTAAAAAATATTTCCGGTTTGTGTTTGCTGTTAATCCATTACATCAGATGCCAACCTTTGAGAAAAAATCAGAAGCAGAATTCATCCTGAGTGAAACATAAATAATAACTACATACTGCGAAAGTTAGTAGAGCTCATTGAGACAAAGTCAAAAGGCTATAATGATAAACATCCACGCGTTCTTCATCACTGTTCCACTGCAACAGCCGTTCCACTAAATATGATTTTCGAAAAATCAATAATTGATGGCAAAGTCTTTAATATAAGGAAGTTGTCAAATGTTTGATCTCAATTATCAACAAGTTGATAACTGAGATCAAACACAAAAGATATGAGGATTGATTAGTTATTCTCGGTAGAAGAGCAACAAAAAAGATTCAACAATATAAAATTGCATATGGGATAGATAGTCAATCCAAATTTAATGAAAATACTGTTTGCAGGTTCTTAGTCTTAAACAAATAAAACAGTGATATTTTTTTGTTAAGCATATTTTATATATAAATTTATATATGTGTACAATACAATTAGTAGTTAGAAAAAATAGAAAACTCTATTTTGTTATTTATTTATAAATATTGTATTTTATAGACGCATACGCATTAATTTATCATATTAAATATTGCAATGCTTTAGGTTATTTTTAATATATAAAAAGTAATACAACAAGCACGCGCGGATCAATGGAGCAAGGGGAATGGAGCTTCGGTTATGTAATCGTTAAAATATAAAACTGATTTAAAAAAAAAAGTTTACTAAAAACGTATTTAGTTTGTTGGTTGGGACATAAATAAGAAAACATTTTAAATACTTGGAAAACTTGGAATAGACAAAAAGTAATAAGATATCAAAAAATAATGTTATTATCGCTATAACAAATATACTTTGTTATTTGTTATAGCGATAATAACATTATTTTTTCAATTGTTTTATTTAGCTTAGTTTTTTATTCGAGCTTAATTATATTTAATAAAAACATTAAAATTTAATCCATAAA